TCTTGGCCTCTGAGGGGGGATTTCAGGCCTTCAATATGGGAAAGATATTTTTGGGTTGTAAAATCTTATGATTTTCTTCAAATCACACCCTATTATGATTGTGAAGAAAGCTTTATGTATTTCTTTTCTGTGTAGTTATTTTAAAATTGGTAAAAAGTGCTTGCAGTTGGTGCAACTGTGGTGTGACTGATGAATTATAAATAGGAAAGTGTTCATCTCTGCCAAAATGCTTGGCTCTAAATTATACAAATCTGTGTCACTATCTTCTTTTGGAGATGACTATTTTATTTTTATTTAGAGACAATGGAGACTTGTCTTGCATCTCCCAGAGTTTGAAAATCTATATTTGAAAATAGAAAATACAGCCTATATTATTGAAATGCTAACAATACTTAACAATTATTAATCTAAAGGTAAAGCAAGTCATTTAAAATGTATTAATAGATAAATTCTTACAGTCACTTTTAAATATAAGTTTTATGGTGTTTTAACAAAATATTAGTTGATTAAAATATCCCTAGGGTTATAAAACACTAAATACCAAAGGGTATTTTCATCCTTTTGTCTATAGACATACTGTTCATGAAACAGAAACATGCATCATAAAACCCAGTAAATAGGATAAAGAAAAACTAGTAGAAGGGCTGGAGAGTTAGAACAAAGGTTAAGACACTTGCCTAGCTGTAGTGGAAAACCTAGTTCAATGAAGCCTGGCACTGCATGTGGGTCCCATATACTGCCAGGTTTGATCCCTGAATACAAGGGTTCAGTTCCTGTGAGCTGCAGTATGTGAGAAGCATTACATCCTCAGTCACTTGCTTTGAACAAACAGCCTCATTGGCCAAAAATTGTGTTGGGAGTCCCTGGACTTCCTGAACCACTTCTTAAGAGACCCCTAACCACAGTAGCAATGATGATCCTAAACCAAAATAAATTAGAGAAGAAGTGTTTCCACGTGTTTTGAATCCTCTCTTTAGTATAGGGGTCAAAATACTTGCCTTCTGTGTGGCTGACCCAGTTAGATCTCCAGGCCCACACATGGTCTCCTGAGCGACCCTGTGTGTGGCCCCAGCACTCCAAACAGAACAGAAAAAAACATATATTTCTCTCACAGAAATATTGAATTTATTTCTGGACAGTTTGTAAAGGTCACACACACATGGCCAGATACACATGGTTTGGACAGTTTCGGAGTAACTTGGGGAGCACACAATTTAAGTTATACTAAATTAGCCAAGTAAGTCCCTGATAAAACCAATATAACTAATAAATTAAGTAAAAACAGTTAGCAATCTTTATCATTTATTTTTCTCTTAAGAAGGGATTGATCCTGCAATAAGGGGTAAATCTGGGAGTTTTAGTTTTATTTAAATATTAATTTTATCTGCTAATAAATTTCCTCTGCTCTGTTCTCACTGCACCTTTACCTCATGTTGCATATAGAAGTTGCCATATAATGCCAAGAGACAAAAGCTTGGGATTGAGATAGAAGACAAATGGATTAGTGCCTCTCCACTAGCCTCTCTGATGTAGTGGGCCTGTTTCCTCATATTCACAATAGAGGGAGGACTTTTTCGACAGAGTGAATCCCATACATGATGCATTTTCAAATGTCCTGTGATTAATGTTATCATTTTTTTCCTTGTGAAAGGGCCAGGAATTTAAGAGTGATTCCTCCAAAAATAACCATTATCAGGCAAGAGAAGAGAGAAGAATGTAATAGTGGAAGTAGAAGGCAGTTCAGTTGGATAGAGGAATTTCATTCTGAACTGTTTTGCATTTAATATGTGTAATATGATCCTACCACTGAAGTTCTATCCCACCTTGAAAAAGCCCCTTTGCTCCTTTCTCCACCTGTTCATTTTCACTTTGTAACCACCATAATGGTTAGCCACTGAGTTGAATTAGTGTTTTCTTGCCCATGTGTTATTTTATATGAGTGGAACCATGGCATGACTGTCTTTTGATTTCTTATTTTCCTTTCTTATTTCACATTATCATTTCAAGTTCCATACATTTTGTCACAAAGGGTACAATTTCATTTTTAAATGAATTTGTAATCCCTCACGTGTATACAGCTTTCTTTGGTTGGGGGAGTATCCAGCAGTGCGTAGGGGTGCCTCTGCACCAGAACTGCTGTACTACCTTCTGACCCCAATACTGGTATTTGGGGGAAAGGGTGTTTAGGTTATATCCAGTTTTATTCGGGGCTTACTCCTGACTCTGTACTCAGGTATCACTTGTAAAAGTGCTTGGGGGACAACATGCTATACCTGGGATTGAACCTGGGTCATCTACATATAAGACAACTTCTTAAATCCTGTACTATCTCTCTTGTCCATGATATTAATATTTTTAAGAGAAAGTTTTGTGCATCTTCTAAAATTGTACTCTTTGATAACAACTTATACAACAAACTGTAGGGGTGGGGAAATGTCCAAGTTTACTGTTCATCTGTGGCTTGTGAAATCATTTAGTCTGGCCGTAAATGATTTTTCAAGCAGTCTGGCAACTGCAACATAGTAATTAAACATTTGAACAAATTGCAGACTAATTTTTAAGTTGATTTTTTTGTATGGCCTGTGAATCATGCTATAAATGTCCAGATTATCCTTGGAACATAAAAGGTTTCCTGCTCCTAAACTAGAGTATGCATTAATCATCTCTAAACTTTTTAATCAAAGTATTATCTTGACAACAAATTCTCTTTCCAAAAAATAAGCTTCACATGTTTATTGGTATTCTGAAAATGCACAACCATAAGAGAAGCATTCTAGTTTATATGCATTTTCATGTCATACAGCACAGGTCTATAGACTTTTAAAAATGTTAATTCTATTTAAGTCAAATATGTGATCTGAAATTTTTTCTCTTTTTTGGGGGTTAGGGGTAGGTTGTATCCCAACTAGCTATACTTAGGGGCTAAACTCTTTCAGACCTCCCTGGCAATACTCTGGTACCACATGCAAGTGTTTGAGATTTTAATTAGCGTTGGACACATGCTGGACAAACATCTCATTACCATAGTCTCTGCTGCCTGAAACATATTTAACAGTAAAAAACACTAAGCAAAATTTCTTACAGATAGTAGTTGAAAAATGCTTAATTATTTAAGCTATTTTATTTTTAGTTACTTTCATGGCTTTTCTTTCTTTTTTTAAAAAAGCTTTTGAATATCTGTGATATAGACCATTTCAAAGCTGTTCACGATTGGATTTCAGTCATACAATCATCCAACACCCATTTCTTCACCAGTCTACATTTCCCACCACCAATGTTCCCCAATTTCACCCCCCCACCATTCTTTGACAATCCACCCCCAGTCTACCTCTATGGCAGTCACTTCTCTCTCTCTCTCTCTCTCTCTCTCTCTCTCTCTCTCTCTCTCTCTTTCTCTCTCTCCTCTCTCTCTATTTGTTTTGTGCATTATGGTTTGCAATACAGGTACTCATAGGTCATTGTGTTTGTTCATGGCATTCAGTACTTTCATTGGGAAGGTTAGGCTTGAGTAGCTTTTAAACTGAGTGGCAGTTTTAGGTTGGGATGTGACTGCCAAGACTTCTGGAAGTGCAGGGAGATGAGAGAGAGGTAACCCATCCCGACCCCAAGAAAGTCTCGAAATTTCAGTTACAAACCCCGCATACCCTCATTTTCAGTAGATTCTATCTTGGTGAGGTTCATCCTGAGGATGTGGAATCTGGCCCAGGCCATGGCAGTGATTTTATTGTGAAAGCAAGAGGCTAGGGGGGCTTGGCTGGGCATCAGGCCAACCTGCCTCTTCCAATTTACCCTGGTCTGTTCAACCTTGCGTGAGTCTGAGATTAACTACAGCTTTTGATCTCTTTTGATATTTATTTACGGGTCTTTGAAGCAAAACCAATAAATGAGCTTGTATAGTTGAGCCAAAGGTGATTTGTGGGCATGGTTCCCACATACCTAACTTTTGGCCACTTGGGAAACTTGGTCTTGAGTTATTGGGGTCCAGTCAGAGGCATAATGGCAATTTTGGGGAATCAAAAAGCCTGAAGGCACCATCAGGCTGCTGATGCACTCACCCAGTAGGTACAGCTTGACCTGCTGGTGGTACCGCACTCCGAATTTTAGCTATTTTTTTTAAACATTGAAATTATAGGTTACTCACAAACAAAGCAGGAATACACATTATTTATTTCTGGATTTTTTGGACAAATTTTAAGAAACTATTAAGACAGTAAAGCTATAGTATTTTAATAGAAAAATAATTTTATTGTGTCTTTGAGAATACATATTAGTGTATATATTTGGGTTTATTGATTATTAGGATTGTGATTAATTCACAGTGTGAGGAATAAATCCTAAATTTATAGAAACCAAAATTTCTACCCTTACAGTTATGGAACAAACAAGTTATGAAGAATTTATGTTTTTAATAGCTTAGGATCATGAGGAATTTTGTATATGAAGATATAGCTGATAAACAATTTCAATTATAAACATAATTAGAAATTTCTAAAGAGAACTTATCAATAACCTAGCTTTTTATATTGATTATGATATAATACAATTGTTTTTTAAATCCAAAATTTGTCTACTAATTAATATAAACTTCAGCACTCTGTATATAAAATATAGACATGCAAGACACAATATGTATAGCTATGATTTCAAAAGAACTAATCTGTGCATTATTAGAGTATGATTTAATTAATAAGAAAACATCTTTTAGTTGCGAACTATAGACCAGAGCTTATATTATTGGTGTTATAAAAACCTTCCTCTCCCTTATAAATGAGCTAAATAGGTGTGTCACAATTGATGTTATTCATGTTTTAAGAATTCTAGAGTCCAGGTCTTTTAAGGACAGTTTTACTTTGGAACTAAACATAAATTTGTTGTTTGATTTTTTTAAAATAATCTCATTCCTAGTCTTATTTCTGATGGTGTTTTTGTGTGCTTTTAAATTAAAAGACCAAAGCAGTACTTTAAATAGTCCTTCATGGATTTAAACTTTTAAGTGGTAGTCAGGAATTGTTGTTGGACTGAATAGTCTTCAGAAGTTTCTGGTACATTTCTGACTTTAGAAACCTGGGGTAGGAATCCCTCTCCATATGCATATACACTATTTTTTGAGCCTCTTCAAAACACATTTGAGTGGCTTCTTGAAGATTCTTGGTGATATTTTCTCTTGTTGAGCTGTCAATGTTAATCTGAAAAATGAAAATATGTGCAGACTATAAGTAGATGTAGCTGAAGATAGAAATACAGAATGGCAATGTTTAATTGAGCCCCTCCCAGTGAGATAGGGTAGTGTTTTACAGGATCTAGAAAGATATATGAAATAAATTCTTTGTTTTTTGACTTTGGGGAGGCACACATGATTTTTCTCAAAGATCACTCTTGGTGGGGTTCAGGGTACCATAGAGAGTGTTCGTGATTGAACCAGAGCAGTCACATGCAAAACAAGCATCCTAACTGCTTGCTCTCCAGGCCTAATTCTTTGCCCTCTTTAAAGTAAATATTCTCTTCCATGGCCCTGATTAACACATACACATACACATGCATAGACACAGACACAGACATTAACACTCAAACTCACAGTCCAAGATCAGGGACATGTCAGAAACCATTGCCTGCTAAGGAGGATAAAAGTGGTTTTTAGTAACTTCTACAAAGAAGGAAGTTCAAATCAACTCCAGGTCTCTTAAGAAAAAGGAAAATTGGTGCTATTTAAAACTTTAGCCTCCTTAATGGTCATGAATGCTGATTTAATTGACTATATATAAATGGGACGAAAGCAAAGAGAAGTGGAGAAATAGAGGGCAGAGTGGTTATTTCAACAAATCAAGAATTTTTCAGATTGGACTTTTGAGGACTGTTTCGGGATATGGGACTGACCCGGGTGATGGGTATTGTGTCTCTGGCCTCTAGCCTATGTGCTTAACATGAATTTTCCTTCTTTACTGTCTGTACATCATGAGGATTCCCATCGGGTCTGTTTCCCTCGAGGTTATTTTCAGTAAGTGACCGTGAGTGATGGGAAGTCGCAGTGGCCTGAATGCTTGCTGGCATGGTGGGGCAGACTGTGCCCAGCACTTAATCAAGAGAGGCTTTAGAATTTGCCAGTCATAGTTTGAATCCTAACTTTAACATATTAATGTAGTGGGACACGATTCAAATCAGTTAATTCATAATTTTAAAAAGATCTGTAAAATAAGTTGAACATAGTTAAATTTAAGAGCATTTTAAGAGCTGGTAGATGGAAAAGGCCTGGAACTCAGGTTTTTTTCACAGATAGTGGGATTGGCTCGGGGAAGACTGAAGTGATTCCCATTTGCTGTCGTTGTCACATGTGGTTACCTCTCTGGGGGACTGCGGCTGGATATAAATCTTATAAAGCTTCTTTGCCCTTGAAATTCGGCTCCACCGAGAGTCAATTTTCTTATAGTTTTCACATGCCATCCAGAATTTAATATTCTCATCACTGTGCTCCATCTTTAAGTATGCTGCATAAATGATGGGACCATCTAAAGGAAGGGGAGAAATCAGTTAATTTTCGTGGACCCCAAATCATAAAAAACAAATCTAGTAGTTTAGAGCTGAAGTCCTAATTGCAGCTCCCCAAATTATGTAGCAGCTAAATATTAGCAGCTGTCTCATGCTAACACACATGCTTACACACATTCATATAATACCTGGATCAATACATGTAAAGTATGTTTTGACAGTGCTTGTCACTGTTAAGGTTGTCCCTTCATTTATTTTCAATCCTCAGTATGGATGGGTCTAGGACAAGATAGGTTACTAGGAGTTAGAAACATGACTTTAGTCAAAGTAGAACACAAAACTCAGGTCATGAAATAATCATGAAGAGAATCAAAGACTTCAAGTAAAATTGGAGGTAAAGGACAAGGTTTATAATCTTTCATTTGTTTGGTTTTGGACCACTCCCATGGGTACTCAGGTGTTCCTTCCAGTGGTGCAACTGGAAACTGGGGAAACTCTGTGATATTAGGCATCAAAACTGGGATTCTTGCATGCAAAGAATATGCTCCAGCCCTTTGAGTCATCTCTCTGTCCCCAAGATAAAAAATCTAAATATGCAGATCAAATTTGAGAAGAAACCTCCAACCCAGGTTGAAGTAATAAACGTATCAGGTTGAACAAACTGCATATTTCTCAATATCTAATCAGAACTAGAAAACTTGATGAAAAATGTAATCTCAAGTTCATGGTTTATATTTCAAAATGAACACCAGGCAACGAAATGGAATTCAAATAGAGTGTTGATAGTTATCTCAAAAATGTAGAATAGAACAATGGATATGGGCAGTGCACCATCAGACAACACAGTGACAAAGATTGGTTATCTATAGTTCTGGCCTTTAGTTGCCTTTCTGGAGTAGGTAGATAAGACCAAATAAGTGGGGGAGCTTTCCTGATTGAGAATCTGTATTGAAGGTACTTGTATTTGAAGACTAGAGTAAGGTGAATGCTCCCAATAATAAAACTCTTAATATAGTAATCAAGAAAGAGGACCATCCTTAGGAGGATCAAGTATTCTCAAATTTAAAGATGTACACTCTGGGATGATATTAAACTTTTGAGGACCCAGAAAGTTCTCATCATAACTTAGAAATTAACATGCTAAATGATTAAATCAACAATGTAGCTTGTAATACAAATGTGTTTGTAGGAACATTGAAAATGTGGCTACTTACACACTATGAGCATAAAAATATGACTAAGAGTATACGGGTTAGTATTATTCACTGGCACAATAAATAATGCTAATCAGATGGAATGGCAGAAGTGAGTAAAATCATATTTTCTGAATCTTCACATAAGATTTTAGATTTGAGTTTTCTAGTAATAGAAATCCAGGTTCCATGACTCCTTGGCACCTGTTGGCTCTGTCAGCCTTGATGCTAAAATGAATAAAATAATGAAGGTATAGTGAATTTAATAGAAAGACTCAAAATAGGGATATATTCCTTCTGAAGGGGTAATTGGAGTCAGGTAAAAAACCCTGGGAGTATGCAGGTAATATATGTCATCCAGGGAAAACACAGAATTGGAGAGTCATAACATTGGACAGAACATGGTTCAAAAGTATCACTGGAACCTCATCCATGAGAATGTATCTGCTGAAAAATCCGGGTATGCAGGTTATGTGACTGAAATCTCCAGGTTATTACGCTGTTAGAAATGGATGACCTCCCCCCATCTCCCTGTTCTTCTGGGAGCCTGGCAGTGATGTCCATGAACTGCCCTGGTACTATATAAGCTCATTAATGGTCATTGATCCAGAGACTCACAATTAAGTCTCAGAAGAGAACAACAAGCTGCAGATATGCCTCTAGACCCAAAGTCACCATCTAGTTGAAAATTTAACTCCAGTTGTATCACCCTATTTAAAATTTTAGAATTCCTGAAGTGACATCTCATATACTACCTTACTGATGTACCAAGAGTAGCACACCACATTTGATGGGGTGTAAAGTAGAAGGTAAAGGTAAAAGGTAAAGGTAAAGGCCCTCCCGTTGATCATCGATTTGCTCGAGCAGGCCCAGTAACGTCTCCATTGGAGACTTTATTGTTACTGTGTCTGGCATATCCAATACTCTCGGTAGCTTGCCGGGCTCTCCGAGAGGGGCGGAGGAATCGAACTCGGGTCGGCCATGTTGGCCGCGTGCAAGGCAAACGCCCTACCCGCTGTGCTATCTGGATTTAAAAAAAAACCCACCATGCTGAGACCACTCTCCACGTGCATGAGGGTACCAGCAGAGGAACAAAGGCATGCGGGTCCCGGGGCTGAGATCTCCAAGCCTGCTTGGATCGGGGCTAAGCATCCTCCACCCAGATCCTCCATATTCCAGTAGGTAGGGGTCACACCCACCAACTGGCCCCCTGGCGCTGTGTAATCCCATCAACGGCCAAGACCCAGAGACTATAAAACCCAACTCCCGGAAGCAACATCTTATTATCTCATTCCTACTTTGGACAAACTGGCAGGCTACCGAATGTAACCTGCCCACACGGCAGAGTCTGGCAAACTCCCCATAGCTTACCCAATATGCCAAATACCAGTAACAATGATGGGTCTCATTCTCCTAACTCTAAAAGAGCCTTGAATATGGCACATTTTAAAAAATCTCAGGGCTAGGAGGAAGGAGACGTTACTGGGGCCTGCTCAAGGCAACAGACGAACAACAGGATGGTCGTGATCGTGAAAAAAAAAAAAACACTAGCACACAATGCTCAACTTGTCACAATATGTTAGTAATCTCTTTTACAAGGGTTAAATGGCTTCAGGGTGAGATACAACAATTTTCACACACTTTCCCCTAAGGAAACTTTTTTGAATCACTTTTAGTGGATCATTCAAAACAAGCAATACAAAATAAATTATTTGGGATGCGATTTAGGGGAAGGCTTGGGTGGTGGTGGGAACATTTGAAATAATGGTGGTGAGAAGGTGTAATGGTGGTATTGGAATTGGAATTGGTATTGGAATATTGGGACTGGAGCCATAGCACAGCGGTAGGGTGTTTGCCTTGCACACAGCCAACATGGCTGACCTGAGTTCAATTCCTCTGCCCCTCTCGGAGAGCCTGGCAAGCTACCGAGAGTCTCTCGCCCGCACAGCAGATCGTGAAAAGCTATCCGTAATGTATTCGATATGCCAAACACAGTAACAACAAAGTCTCCAATGGAGACGTTACTGGGCCCACTCGAGGAAAGTGATGAACATCGGGAGGATAATGACAGTGATTGGAATATTGAATTCCATTTATTGGAATATTGAATGTAATAAATTATTGTGAACAGCTTTACAAAAAAAAGTATCAGTATCATTGGGTAGAGATGAGCAACATCTGGAATGAGCATTTGTGAACAGTTCATTCTCAAGTAAAAATGATGAGCTGGAGGTGCCAGAGCAATAGTACAGTGGGGAGGGCATGACTCTTGCACGCTGCCAATCCGGGTTTGATCCCAGGGTCCCATAGGGTCCCCAGAGCATTGGCAAGAGTAATTCCTGAGTGCAGAGCCAGGATTATTCCCTGAACATCTCCTGGTATAACCAAAAAGGCAAAAAAAAAAAAAAAACCCAAAACAACAACAACAAAATGATGAGCTAAAGTACTGCATATTTAAAAGTGTAGCATGAGAAATGTTATGGTTACATAATCTGACCCAATGGGGGAATATATTTTAACTTATATTTTAAAGTAGAAGCAATTTTCACATTAAGCTACTTTCTAGTGTGGCTTATATAATTTATAAGCACGGAAGTGTGCTTCCATGGTGTGCTACTCTTGGAAGTCTGGGGTTAGAGAATAGTAACCTTGTGGTAGACTCAGAAGGAAGAGGTTAGAGAAGAGGTATGTAGCAATTACTCCTCTAAGAGAAATAGCTGAATGACGAGGGAAGTCAAAGAAACAAAGAGAACGAAAGCAAATAGCCTCACATTCCGGCACTGAACCTCCTGTCTGGTTGGCCTAAAATCACTGGATGGTCCTCTCACCCCCTTAAAGAAAAGAATTTATTCTGGATTAAAAAGTAAAGCTGGAAACCAATAATCTACAATGGGTATTCAGAGAAACAGAGTTTAATTTTATTTTCTTAAAGTAGTGTCTTTGCTTGGTTCTTGGAAGAGTTTTCACTTAGTAATATATTCAGAGTAGAAAGTTAAGGCCTGCCCCCAACGCTGCTATGCCTGTCTCATCCCCAACCAGATCAGTCCGCCTGCCAGCACTCGAATCCGGAACTTGGCTTTCTCCCTGTAAAGGCCCAGGCGTCCTCTCGGACCCTGGAATAAAAGCGGACCTGAGCCCTTTCCTCCTCGCCTGCCCCCAACGCTTCTTCGCTGGTCTCCTACCCATCCAGGTCAGTCCATCCACCAGCATTCAGATCCGGGACTTGGCTTTTTCCCTGCAAAGGCCCACGCATCCACTCGGACCCTGGAACAAAAGGGAACCCTAGCCCCTTTCTCCTCGCCCGCCCCTAACACTGCTCCGCTGGTCTCCTCCCCATCCAGGTCAGTCTGTCTGCCAGCATTCAAATGCGGGACTTAGCTTTCGCCGGGCAAAGGCCCAGGCGTCCTCTCAGACACTGCAGCAAAAGGAGACCTGAGACCCTTCCTCCTCACCCGCCCACAAAGCTGCTCCGGTCTTCCCCCCAACCTAGCATTCACCCCTCACACACAACTGGTTCCCATGGGTGCGTGGCCTCTTCAGAAGGGGCGTGACTTAGGTAGAAGTGGACAAGGCTTAATTTCAGGCACACTGCTGCTCATGCAACCGCAGGTAGTTTACTATACCAAAGCATCTAGTATGACATCACAGTTCCTATTCTTACACACCAACATGAAGAATCAACGCAAATCACCACCACATTGAAAGGACAATGTAAAGAGTCCAGAAGCCTCAGTAGGTGCTATTCACCTAAGGGACTTCTCTGACAAAGAATTCAGATATGAAGTCATGAGGATGTTCAATCAACTCAATGAAACAGTCAGACAATT